ACAACACAGAGTCAGCGTGTGGAACTCATTGCCACATGTTGTGAAGGCCAAAAGTATAACTGGGTTCAAAAAAGAATTAGTTCATGGAGGATAGGTCCATCAAGGACTATTAGCAAAGCTGGTCAGGGACGCAACCCCATGCTTTAGGTGTTCCAAAGCCTCCAACTGACAGAAGCTGGAACTAGGCAAAAGGGGATGGCTCACTTGATAAAGTGGCCTGTTCTGTTCATTCATGCTGAAGGATCTAGCATTGGCCCCTGTCAGGAGACAGGATATTGGGCTAGATGGACCATTGGTCTGACCCAGTATGGCTGTTCTTATGATTTGCAGACATGCTGAGCACTCATAGCTGCAACTGAAGTAAATGGGAGCTGTGCTCTGAACATATAAAGCCGTATAATGCTAAGTACTTTGCAAATTAGGTCCTCAGCATCTCAAACTGGACACCTAAGATTAGTGAATACTTTTGATCTTAATCTCTTTGGGCTGCAGTTACTCATCTGTAAAATGGGGCCAATACCCCTCATCTCACAAGAGTATTGTGAAAATAAGATCAGTAATGTTTATTAAAGCACAAAGCTGGTGTAGTGTTGAGTATGAGAGAAAAGCACCTGAGGAGATTAATAGTTCTGTCTTCAGAACAAGGTTTGACTAGTGAGAGTAACCAAGGTCTGGGGCCACGCATTGAACAATGAGAAAACATGGTGAGTAGTTGCTAATGAAGTGAGCACTGTCCATCCTGTTCACTGAATGAGGCAGCGTCCTGTGGAAAAAACAGCGTGTGGTCATGTGATTAAAGGCTGTATCAGGGATTGGCAACCTTTGGCACGCAGCCTGTCAGGGAAAGCCCCTGGTGCGCTGGGCCGGTTTGTTTACCTGCAGTGTCCGCAGGTTCGGCCGATCGCAGCTCCGACTGGCCACAGTTCACCGTTCCAAGCCAATGGGGGCTGCGGGAATGGCAGCCATCGGAGCTGCCATCAGCCAAACCTGCGGATGCTGCAGGTAAACAAACCGTCCCGGCTCGCCAGGGGCTTACCCTGGCAGGCGGCGTGCCAAAGGTTGCCGATCCCTGGGCTGTATCATAACACATATGCACAGGCAACCTTAATTCTGGCATTTCCTAACTTCTGAGTGCTTGGATTTGCAACTTTAGTAATGTTCTTTTAACACAAAAACCTGTGTGTAATCTCCTGAGTTTTTAAAAAAGCAAACAAAAAAAATTCCATCATGTGGCATTATATTGATGCCCACATGATTCGTCAGCAAGGTTGGAACCTTTAGATCCAACCCACAGACCTCTGCCACTCGCACTACCAGAGGTAACTAATAGCATGGAAAATTTCAGCCCAAAGGGTTAAAATTTGGCCAGGTTATCAATAACTAAAAACAGGGCCTTGTAACAGGAAATACTAGCAAACTTTAATAAAAGGAGATGCTACCACCCCCACCTGTGATGAGATACATGTACACTATAGTTTAACTCAGTGGTCTCCAAACTTTTTTGATCGCGCACCCCATCAGTAAAAAATTTTTGAGCACGCACCCCCTGCTCCCGGCCAAACTGCCGAGGGGCTTGGGGGGGGGGGGG